TGACATAATATGAAAACTTTAATTTTTTTTGTTATTTTTATATTTTCGACGCAGACATAATGACTATTGTTTTTTATAATATGCTTCATCAACTATGGGTATAATTAGCATTGTGTACATTATGTAAAATGTATAAAAAAATATAAAATATATTATGCAGGTTAATAATTGTCAAAACATTTTTTTACAACATTCATTTTGGTAAGAAAATCTATTATTTTAGTGCTGTTATTGTCTTCATTGAGATGCTTCTTCTAGGCTATAACACTGTTATAATGGCTGTGATAATATTATGTACATAAATCAGTTTATTGTAATTGTATTTTCATCGTTTGTCCACTCTTATTTTTTCCCTACACCGTATAGTCGGTACCTGCCTATAAATGAATCAGTGAGTAAATTATAATATTATTATTGTTATAACGATAACTTAGAATGATATCGCAATCCATGTTTGTATAATATTATAATAATATAGTTATATGAGATTAAGTGTATAATATAATATTATGACTATAATAATATAATAATATAAGTATGACGTTCAGTCGATGTGCATCGGTCTCCGAGATCGAATGCATGTAAATGTAGATAAATCGTGTCACCAATTTTATCGTCTATGCTCGTACAATAATTGAGTTGGTGTTTCAAATTACAATACGTAAAAAATTACGACCTATGAGTGCTCTGCGTCTCGTCACACGGTATCTATCTCAACTTCATCAAAGTATGATAAAATTGGGTCAACTGCGCACGATGAAATTTAGTGTTAATCGACACTAACGTTAGCTGTCCATAACGACTTAATCCAATTTTAGATAATTGAGAATGTAATAATCAATGAACAGTTTTATTTTTAATTACTTTAGTAGATAGTATACAGTATATTAAAATGTCTCTTATTGATCGTGGTGTAATAAATACTATGAATTGAATCCACTGAATAAAATCACAATATGCAGAACAAAATGGGAATGATTGTTGATAACTGCGTACTGTTATTATAATATAGTAGATGAATTGTTTTATTGTTGTTATTATTACTTTTTATACTTTTAGATAAGCATAACTTTTACGTTCAAATATTTAATGAATTTTTTACGATTATATAAATACACATTGCATTTCGAGGCACGTAATGTAGGTATAGGTATGTATAATATTAAATTAATTTAAGCAGAAATAGACAACATTGTTTCTTCAAATGCCAATAGTTGATTTACGTATTATTAATAACTAGTGGGACAAAATTCGTCGAATGAAACTCGACATGAAAATCGTGAAAATGTTTCAAATACAATAATGTATAACCTACGTTCTACTCGGTAGTCAATATCATATTATATTACACCATATTTTTATTACCAAATTATATCATTATTATGTAACAAACATTAACATTGATCGTATCACCGACGTTGGTTGATAATAATAACAATAATATATAATAACAGAAATTCTTATGAACAACACAACTAATTTAATGATATATATTATTTACTTGTTGGTGTCAATGTTACGTAATATAAAATAATAATGATTACCTACCTAGTACCTATACTATATTATATCATTGTTATTGGATTAAACTATTATAATAATTGAAATAATAATTTAACATTGTAGGTAATATTATAATATTTTTAATCATACACATACGCTATTATTAAATTATTAATACAGTTTTGGTGGCGAAACCGCGGATGATAGGTATAGGGGCTTAACGCCAACGCCCTGGCCCTTGGCCTTTTTACTTTGACGGGTTTCGATGAATAATCGGTTCCTTATAATAATAATAATAATAATAATAATAATAATAATAATAATAATAATAATAATAATAATAATAATAATAATAATAATAATAATAATAATAATAATAATAATATTGTATAATCATGGTTTAATCGCGCAGTACAGTGGTAAGTATATTGTTATTGCAGTGGATTCAAATGCACATTTTAAGCCCCGATTAAAATATTAATTTTCAACGTCGTTGAATACCTGCAGTGTAATTGTGTTTATTTTCGGCAGTTTAATATTAATATTGTATTCCGATCAACCTCTACTCGACAATAATTGTAGTCGCTTCTCGTCATGACAAATTTAGTTCTAACCATTTAAGCTATCTACACGTAAATTGTCTGAAAAAAATCACGTCGTAGGCAGCTATGACACACGTTGAAAGTCTTCGTATTTCGGTGGGCACATTGCTGTTTGAAACTACGTCTTAAAACGTCGTTAATACAGGGGGTTTCACCAAGCATTATCATCCCCCTTTTTCCATCAATAATTCAGTTGATCAAAAACTGATTATTGGAATTTTTAAATATTATATACCTACCTATCTAAAGACCATATTACATTCAAATGCATGAGATATTTTGTGTGCTACAAGGAGTGTCCAAACTTCTGTTTTTTAAACGAGAGCCCACTCTCTACAATACTTTTCTATTGTAAAATATTTGGTGGATATTTTTTCTAAAAACCATGACGTATCAAAATCGAAATTCAGATAATAGGTCTACGATAATTGATTTAATATATTAAGCGCTATAGTGAATTGAAAAATTTAGTAATTAAATATACGTACCAATCGATCAACCTTTATAATTTATAAAAATGGTTTATGTATAATAAATACTACATCCAATATAACATTATATTCTATATTTTATTTTTGTAAAACCATTTTTAAGGACATAGTGTAAACATTTTAATAACTAACTCAAAGAATTCTCGTTCGATTTTTGAACAAAACACATAATTATTTTCAAAAAAATATTCAATATATTATTAATAAAAATGAGAAAATAGTGGTTCTCATTTGAATTACAAAAGTTTGTATCACCAAATAACGCTCTTTAACAGTAGAAAAAAACATTTTAAAATAAGAAAACGTGGTCTTTACGAGTATAATTTATTAAAAAATTAAAAAATCAGCATTTGGATAAATGCACTATTATAGAAATTAGGGAAGGGCGAGCATTGTCTGTATACCATATATTTGATATATACGTAACTATATATATTATATCGTTATGCATAGATATAGTGGCCTTACACTCGGGACTCTGCAGGTATATATATATAATATATATAAAGACGGGAAAAAAAGCTAGTCCTTTGACACTATGAGTTTGTTTTTTTTTCTTCTCCGTTGTTATTATCTTCATCGCTACTCGTTTTAAACTGTTCTATAAAGATTCCTGGAAAAAAATAATTAAAAAAAAAATAAAGGGGTCGGAAAACGGTTTTAATTGCTCAAAAACGCATACCTATAATATGCGCACGTATCATAATACAAATATAATATATATATACATAAATACTTACATACATACATACATGCATATACATAACATACATACATACATACATATACATAACATACATACAATATATTATGTAATATATACGTATATAAAAGGTATCAAAGTGTCCTTGTACTTACCTACGCCTCTGGTGCAGCGTATAATATAATGTACCTAATAGGGTCGCTTCTCGCGTCGTAGTCTCCGCCAATTATTTCGCGGTCCACTCCACTCTGCAGTAACAATGTCCGCAAAATCGTCTCTCGTCGTTTTGGCCGAAGGTGTTTTGAAAATAACTTCATTATGATAACGATGTTATGTTATAATAATTTGAGATTAGGGTATGCTCAGATACATCGAACGGTACTCATAATAATATCAGTTAAATTCAAACATTTAACTACATTATTTCAATAATTATATTTTCTTTTTCGTTTTTTGTTTTTTTTTTTTTTTTTTATGAATTTATCGCTTCGACAGCTAAGGTTATTACCCAACGCTATTAAAGATATTTTGTGACAACAACATGGTAATATTTACAATGTAAACAACATAAATTATCATATTTCAATTTATTTGATTTGCTACTAAAATATTTTTGTTTCAAATATAATAGTTCTGCCTATAATTTATTATTTAGTGCGAATTTTTAGTAAAAGAGTAAAAACATGAATTAATTTCCTTCCTTGCATAAATATAAGGTACCAAAATTATTATCAAGTATTAAGGATGCTTAGGAATTTTTTTTTTAAACCAGTTGTGATAACTGGCAATAACCGTATAGTGTCAAAAATCAGAATATTACCGATCAGCAACATTTTGTACAATCCCTGCAGCTTATAATCTATGCAATGGGATTATGTGTACTAAAAATATAATAATATACATAATATTATCATATTATAAAAAAACTAAAATAAATGGGTAAATTAATCATAATAATATAGTTATGTATTGAAAACAACGTCCACTTCTCCATGTTTAACGAACGTATTTGTAAGGTTAGATGTTTTCAATTTATAATAATAACATTCGGGGCATCTTCACACTGCATCGTCGTACAGCACGTCATTATAATATTATTTCCTGAAGTACCTACCTGTATATATTATGTATTAAACAAAGCAGGCTGAAATAACAAAACGATTTGCACGTCTTAATTGTTTTGCTCGTAAAACTTTACCAACACCAAGTCAAAAACCTAATTTCGTTGAAAACTTTAAATTAGTTTTTAAACTCTATTCGACATTTTCCTCAGATTAAATATTTTTTGGTCAAAATGAAAAAAAAACTGAATTTTTAACTAATAACTCTTGTAAGATTCTGCTCTGAAATGTCAGCCTTATATAATATTATAAAATCGTTTTAAACAATGAAGTCCGCCTCGAGATTTCTCACTATAGTCCAAACAACAAAAATAATTATATTATATTGTAGTATAATAAAAGTGCAAACAATTATATCGAATATTTGTTATAATATGTTTTATTATTTTTATCTTACGACTCCCGGGACTGGGCAGCCTTGATTATTGCTAAAACGAGTACCTACCTACATGTCATATGTGAATAACGTATTGGTTCGATGGCCTCGGCAGCTGATGTCGCGACGAACATTATGAAAAATAATAAAAAGCGTATAACTTAACAAATATATAATAATCTTCATTAACCGTTTACGTTACAGGTGTCGTGGATAAGGCACAGAGACATACACATACTGACGGTGGGCGCGTACACGTACACCAGTGACCAGCGGTTCCAAGCCATTCACCACAGGTCACACTCGGACCAATGGACGTTGCACATCAAATGGGCTCAGAAGAGAGACGCAGGCATTTACGAGTGCCAAGTGAGCACGCAACCGGTGAGAAGCATATTCGTCACGCTGAACGTCGTCGGTAAGTGCACCCTTTATTTGTATATTTTGTAAAGTCATAATGTCATACGTAATATACGACGAGGTATGACTGCAGATTTCGTATCACATTCATCACGTCAACAGTCATTTTCTCAAAGTAGGTTATTTACGTAGGTAATTTCAAGTCATTGGACCACGATGTGTTTTTAAACAGACAGAGGGTTTTTCCACTATTTTTCCGTCGTTGTTCTAGGCGCTCACTTCATTGACCCAACCGTAGTCGATTTATTGACTATAACTAGTTTATAGAAACATTTAAACTTCAGACGGGAGAGTGGAGTGGCGTGGCCAATGTTGTAGAGGTACCTCGTAAAATGTTGCAGGTGCACAACTCCTTAAACATCGAAACTATAAACACTTAATTATTAAAACAATTTACCTATGGTGCAAGGTGTGAATTTCGTGTGAGCTGATAGTTTGAATTTAAATAATATAGCATGAAGCAGATGCAGTGAGTTATTAAGAAATTTTTTTTTAGACTTCAAGTCAGGACTACAAGTTAATGGGAATATCTGATATACCTACCTATACAGTACATTGTATATTTAATAAATCGGGTGACAAGTCACTTCCTCTAAGAACACTAGCAGAAATTGGGAAGTAGGAAGATCATATTGAGTTGCCTCGTCGAACTCCAAATGTTCCATTTCAGATATAAGAGTGAATTTAACAAATCGTCAGTAAAATAATATTTTACTTTGGATTCTGAAAAAAAAACGTGTTGGTACTACCTTTTGATTCTGTATATAATATATAAGAAAAAAATGTTTTAATTAATGTGTTTTATAAATAATTTACAGAGAAAATGACTGTTGGTGAACAAAATTTACCTCGTGTACCTAATAATACATAATATACATTATTATACATAGGTATCATAATATGCATAAAAAATGTATTATTAGTTATGATTATTGAATAGTTATATAATATAATATAATCCATATTTATATATGTTACGGGAAATGTTCACATAGCCAGGTCAATTTGCTGCTGCCCTGGAAAATTATAATAACTATAATATAATATTGATGGAAGAACACGAAAAAAAATGTATTTAGTATTAATTATAATATTTACTACTCATACATAATATTTATTATATTATTCTGGATATTTTCAAACAATTTTATAATATTCGTAATTATAATATTATATACCTACCTGATGTGTAAATTGTTCGGTATTTCACATTTCCCGTAACATATTACAGGTGCATTGTATATTATGTTGTGCCTATTTGCTATTTCTCATTTCGCGTAGTAGTTTTGATGATAATAATCGATAGACGTCCACTTCCTCGCCGCATTACATGGCGTGTGAAACACGGCTGTTGTTTAATATGATTATTTATTATCTTTGTTGTTTCAACACTTCGGCGTTGTCGATATATGCATATATATATTATATACCTACGTTTCAGACGATAAACCGCCGCCCTCGGACAGCGACGATAGTTTACTAGACATGATGATAAGAGACGGAGACTTTACAAAAGGTTTTTATACAAACGTGTTTGCGTGTGGTTTGATATTAACAAACGTTTGCCGAATTAACGCTAATAACAGTATTATTATTATTATTATATACAAAACGTTTCGTGTAAACATGCTCGACGCTGCCGTTTGAAAGTAATTTGTTTTCGGTGATTTTACCGCACTATAATTAGGTATAATAATATGCATTGTTGAATGCCGAAAAAACAACCGTGTTCCTACCTATTTACAACCTACAAATGTTATGCGCAGCGCATAAAACGATTAAAAATTACATTATTATTATTATTAGTATTATTATTATTATCATACCAATGTGAAAGACAAAACCTACTCGGGGGTCACTGTCGACCACTGTGCACTTATTTATGCCAAAATTAGCATACAGACGACGGGCATTAAAAGCAAATCGATTTCGTATAGTATTATCTATTATAGGAATCAAACACCTCGAAGTAATGCATTATCATTAGAAATTCGAACGCACCACGCGCGATGCTTGTATAAATGTTCGTTTACATTATTCAACAAACGATTTCTAGCAAATAGCGGGGATTTTGGCGAAACATCTAAAACAAAAACACTACGAAAACGACAACATTCACTGTACAATTAAAACTATTAAGTGCGATAGATATTATATCCTGCAATATAAATGCAGCTCATTCGGGTTTTTCGTGAAAAACTTTTAAAAAGAACTCATGTCAGCCGCGAGTGCGGAAACGAAAGACTAAAGTTTATTTATTTATTTATTTTTTTTTTTGATTTACGATAAACGTATTTGATTTTAAATCGTTTTAAAGTAGCTACTCAGAGTATAACATTACACAACACGATAATCATCGTACAAACGAATTTTTGAAATCTTCAGACACGTCATATTATGGTCCATAAAATCCTTCATATTTAGCCGAACTCAAAATATGTTTTCGATTCTAAGTGATATGGTTTTCAAAGTGTACACTGAAAACCCTGACGCTGATTGTATAATAATATTACGTATGTAAAATTGTATTGTATTTGTCGCACGAAAAGAGACAGAAATATAATATCATAATTCAATTATCACATCGCTCAGCCCGAAATCTAAAACAATATTGATATATACTACAATTGCAATTAAACGAGTATAATATTATGTGTGATATCAAATTCACAATATTATGCACAGTTCACTGAAATATATGTTGCAACATACTCATCAAATATTTGTATTTTGCCTTTTTGTACGGATGAACTACAATCTCGTGTACAATAACATTTCGTTATAATAATTATTATATTAATAACAACATACAAATTCGTATGAATATCTTGTTGAAATTTGTTTTGCATAATTTTGAATAGCAATTATTGCGTCCAATGCCGTCCATGTGTAATCAAAACACTATTAAATTTCCATGGCTTCGTCGGCAGATACGGCATGACGTTATTATACTTACGCATCGACAAATCCTAAACGCTTATAAACAATTTGTAATAAATAAGACGTGGCGAAAGCATTCGCATTATAAAGTATTTGATTTTCGTGAAAGTTATATTATTATTATTGCTATCTAACTATTCTAACTGAAAGGTAAATGTCAGAAAACGGTACTTATTTCGTAAGAACAGTTTAAAAAGAGTGGCTGCTTTCGAAATGTTCAAAGCTGGTGGAATCATGACCTTAAAGTGATTCGCAGAATCCAGAAATAATGTTTGTCAGAAAATTTCAAAATTAGAGGAAAATACCGGTACCGATTTCGCTGAAATCCCGCAACGTGTAGACCGATTTCGAAATTCGGACGGTTTGAACCATTTGTATGACCTCCGAACCATGAAAACTGATCATTATACGTTTTGCTACTTATCTCTCACGAATATGCAGGCAGACCGGGCTTTGATAAAACTCATCAGTGAGTTGTTTATAGAAAATGCCAATAATATTTCGAATCAATACAGGTAGCTTAAGATTAATCATGAAATACGTGTGTGAGGTTAAATGATGACAAACTTACTATGGGTTGAGGCAAATTAAATAAGTTTATTCGTTTTTGAAAAAAAAAAAACAACAACAAATAACAATATAGTGGCAAAATAAAATATGTTAAACATTTTAAAAAATTATACACCGTATTGTATACTCATTATTATATATAATATTATAGTACTCGACGTTTTCAAAAGGGTTTTTATATTACGAGAAAAATCCAAAACGCACACTACACATATATAATAGCCATTTCGCCGACTGCATATACACTACAAACAACATGACGTTAAGTATATTATTCGAAAATGACCAAGTCCCTTGATGTCTCGAATTCAATAAGTCGACATCCTCTGTACTTGAAATCCTAAATACGTAGGTTCTTTCCGCTCTGGTGATTCGAAGAAAGTCAACCGTGTAATTATACTGTGTGTATTATGTATCTATACATAATACTATATATGAAACTTTGCTGTTTAATTTTTTTTTACAATTGACTCGTGTTTTGCTGCGTATAACGAAAACTTGAGAATATAATGTATAGGTATATCGTATACCGTAGTTTTTTTAATGTAAAAACAAGTTGGGAAATTCCATTCTACTAGCGTGCTAAATTCACGGTTTCTATAAACGTATTTTTAATTTCAATACAACGCAATCGTTATAATTTAAAAGTTGTAATGGCTTATAATTTCTAGGTGTTTTGGGACGCAATCCTTTAAGCTATGATTTACATGATTTTGTTCTGTTATATTTTTATCTAGTCGTCTACATAATGATTGTCTAACGTCTTTATTTAAATAATATGTGACACTCTCATCTTCTGTCTGTTTTTTTTTTATCGATGTGTGTGCTCAGTAATTCTTAGCGCAAACGGAAATCAAAACAAATTTGGTTGTTTGGGTTTTGGTTTATAAAAACCTGATTTTATATTAACTGTTTTACTCACAGTTTTAATAACCAAAATAGAAGTATGAGGTTATGGTTTGAAAAACTAGTAATGAACTACTAAGGTTCCGGTTAACCTTTAGTATAGGTTTTTTAGGTATAAAATTTTTTTACAATACCTTTTTACTTGAGTTTTATGTTTATTGGTATATTAAGTACTTCACAGTTAACTAGACATAACTTTTTCCTGCATACAAATAATTTAATAAATCAAGAAAAATCTTAAATTTACTTTTATTTACTTATCAATAACGAGTATTTACGTATATTAGACTAATTAACATCAGGAGTCAGGAAAATTATGACTTGAGTATTTTTAGTTTTTATTTTTAAAAATATAAAACAATAACCTCCATAAACAATAATATGTTTAATATACATAAATTGAATGTATATTAGTAATATATAGAAATTAATATCATTCTAGGCCATTCAAACTTATAGCTTATAATGTTATATTTAAAATGTCAATTCAAATCAATTTTTTTATACAAAATTGTATGTTCGAAATCAAATCACTGATTCACAATTCCAAATGATCATAAAATAATATCAACATTTAACTATTTAAGTTAAAAGTAGTTATAAAAAAATATCATGTTTTTGAAATTAAATTACAAATATCAAATATCACATTTCAATACCATGAACCAATAATTAATGAAAGATGTATTTAATTTATATAATATCTAAATGAAAATGATTCTTCCAAATTAATAAGAGTTACGATGGCTCGTCGACGTCCTACACTATAATATTATATAGTAATAACTAATAAATAATCACTATCAATTATTAAATATTTAAATTTTAAACCATAATAAAACGTACCTAGTACCTCCTTCATATTAGTTATTTAATGATTTATTTTAATAATATTATAATATAGCATCGATTATAAACCGGTTTTAGCCGGTTTTTCTAAAACCAGTTTCCGTCCCTGATTCTTAGTGAGCTACCGGTTCAAATTCTAATCTAATTTTTTTCTATTGTTCCCCATTTTAGTTGTCATTTTTACTTTCTAAAATTAGAGCCGTACTTTCCAAGTACAATGATGAATATATCATATTTTCATTAATTGTCTGTCCATATACTAATTGTTGAACCTTTATCAATGTTTTTAGAAAATTCATTAACATGGAATTTTTGGGAAAATAGAATTGGTATACAGAATGGATTTTCTTTTTTATAAGTATTTAATTCTGTATCTGGTGATATTTTAATTTTATATTTCAAGTAATTGAAACCTGTTCCAGATCCAATCTGCTTAATAATATTAAATTTGTTATTTAAAAAAAATTTTACTTATATTAAGACAAAAATCAACTTGTTCTTCAGCACTATTTAATTAGCTCGACACCATGTTTTGTGTTATCAATAAGATGCCTAGACCCTAACGAATCTATTGATTTATCTGCATTTTAATCTGAATCTTGTATCGTTAGTTCCCTATTTAATACTTACTAGTATTCTAGTACGAATTTACTTTGAACAGAACCGTTAAATCACATTACAACAACTATCAATTTAATCAACTGTAGTATCAAAATATTTATACTAATGAGACTGTAGTAGAATGTATTTCAAGTATTTTGTCTTGAATTGTAAATTCTGATATGAAAATAGAAATTACTAATTTGAATTTGACAAACCTATCTTAACCCTATTATGGACAAGGAAATAGTTGTTATCGAAGGAATGGCGTATAATAAGTAAGACCGTCTTCGGGTGACTTATTTTGTACAATGTAGACACTGGTAACTAATGGATGGACACAACTGGGATATAAAGTTTTCAAAACTTATGTTTAGGGACCTAAAGTATAGGCTTACAATATATAATAATACATTTTATTAAATATAGTATAATTTATATTATTTTATATAATATATTAAAGTATAATTTAAACCGTAGCTAAAACTGCATAATTTCTTTTCAATAAAACGTACACGGAATCTTTCACTGGTTTTATAATCTTTCCGAAACCAAAAAATTTTTTAATACTGCCGTTTTTGTTGTAGGCACTATATAGTAATATTATACCAAAATTGTTATAATACTCGGAGTTAAATAAATGTACATTAA